TGCAATTTCTGTCAGATTTGAAGAAATAATGCAGTCACTCTGATTCACCTCCAGGGGGGTGATTCCTGACGCAGAACCAGTTGGGAAATGTCAGGATGATGCTGGGAGCAGTCTGAGGGAGGCCGGTGGCTTCTGGCCTTTCCTTGGCCCCAAGGGGGTGCAGCCGGTCCACGTTAGAGATTTGATGGACGAGGGTGACAAGGGGCAGACTGGAGTCCCCCAGTCTCCCCCAAGAACCTCCAAGACAGCTGGGCCGGCAGGAAGTTGGTGGGAAGTATTGCTGATTCCCCCGCAGGGCTTCTCAGGGGTGGCCTGCTCCCCCAGATACCCCCGCCTCCCGTGAAGGACCTGGGGGAGGTTGTGACCCCCAGCTTCAGGTCAGCACAAGCTCCTGTTTGGAGGACAGGAGGCCTCCTGTGGCTGGACACCGAGGTCAGGTGGGAACTGTGCCTCGTGTTGGGCACTCCAGCGTGTTTCTCACTTAACATCCTCACGCCGGCACCGGGGCTCCCCCACTTTCAGAGGGCAAGTTGAGGCTTGGAGAGAGGAGGCCTGTTGCCCAGGTCACCGCTGTGAGTGGCACGGCAGAGTTCGAACCCAGGTTTGTCGGACTGTAAGTCGCGTCCTTACCCACGGGCAGCGCCCCAGCCTGGCCCCAGACGCACAGCGCTGACCGTCAGAGCTGAGCCACAGGCCACAGGCAAGCCACGGAGTGCTGGGTGGTTTCGCCGTGCTGCAGGGTGACGTGGGCACCACAGGTGTTGCTGCACCCTCGCTTATCGAGCACCCAATACCGAGGGGCTTTTGCCCTTTGGGACACGATACCCAGTGGCCGGGGCCCTTGGCAGGACTCAGGCACTGCTGGGTGTGTCCGGCTCCCCTAGATGCCCCTTTCCAGCCCTGTCCAGACCTCTGCGCTGGGCCCTCAGCCCCTCTGACTCCCTGCGCTCAGATGGGAGGACCCAGACGAGGGTGGGCGCAGCTGCTGCTCGGGTTTTCAGAGAACTAGATCTTGGCTGGCTGGTAGGGAGGGAGGTAGTGGGAGGAGTGCGGCAGCCTGGGGAGTGGGGGTCACTCAGTTTCTGGGTCACTGGTCTTGGGGAATTCCCCGATGTCCAGAGAGCTGCTTACCTGGTTGAGTAATAGCTTTGGCAGCTCACACAGGATGCCTGTGAGGGTACCTCCCTGCCACCCCCGCCAGTGTCCACTGCCATACTGCCCTCTCTCCTGAGTGCCCCGAGGCCCAGGAAAGAGACAGACAGACAGGCAGGGGGCTGGTCCCCACCCACGCACCCCCAGCCGGGGCTCTGCAGGGGGCGGCTGGTGATTCAAGCCCCTCTGAGCTGGGCTCTGTCTCCTTCCTTCTCTGATGGGTCCTGGGGGTGAATCAGCTCCTGGGGGCGGTGAGCTGGGTCAGCCACTGTCCTCACGGGAGTGGGGGTGATCAGGGGCCAGGATGGGGCAGGAGTGCACCACCATGCCAGCTTCTCCCACATAACACACCTGGTCTTTCTGGGGTGCTCCTGAAGATGACAGCTGTCAGACTGTCAGGCTGTCCTGTGTCCATCAACCACTAGCAAAGAGTGGACACATCTGCCCCTGCCCCTCCCCTCAGCCCTGGCAGTGTCCTCTTCTGTGAAAGGGAGACATGAACCTATACTTCACAGGGAGTTGAAGACCAGGACTGAAGTGGAGAGGGCTGGCTGGTTGCTCCAAACTGCACTGAACCCCGAGTCCTCACACACTGAGTAGGAGCCATCATTCCCATTTTACAGATGACAAAACCGAGGCCAGGCGGTGGTCATCTCGCAGAGTCACCCAGTTTGTAACCGGCGGAGCTAAGCTACCAGTCCAGCCCCGACTGTCCAAACTTCCAGCCGCCAAGCTCTGTACCTTCTCTCTGCGAGAGATGGCAAAGGCACCTTTGAGAAATTGTGAGGCGCTTTCAGAAATACTTAACGCAATGCCTGTTCTGCTGTAACCCTGAGCAGATGTGGCCAAGAGTATCACACCCCATCTCAGTCCTCAGAGAGGGGTGTAAGACTTGTCCCCCTTTGAGAGTGGACGGACGGAGCTGACCTGAGCCAGACTGGATTGGGGGAGGCAGGGAAGAAGTGGCCTGAGTGTCCCACCTGTGCCCCCCACTCCCTGGGCATTGTGAGGTGGTGCTGGCATCACTGTGGCCCACGGATCAGAGACCTGGATTGACTGTTAATTCTGAGCAGCTCTGGGCACGTGCTTTCACTGCTCCCAGCCTCAGTTTCCCCATCTGAAAAATAATACTTGAGCTCTTTCCAGGACAGGCTGGTGCGCGATGTGTGAGAAGCATCAGAAAAGGAGGGCTGGGTGGCTGCGCAAAGTGTGTGGGACTGCGAGAGGCTGGAGGGGCCCTGGGGAAGCCCCAGGCCAGCTCATGGGCTCACCACCTGAAACGGGGGATGGGTGACCAGAAGCAGGGCCCCCCAGAGCTGGTGCTCTCCAGCCCTGGCCCTGGGCCTGGCAGCTGCCTGCCCAAGCTGAGAGGGACCCCATGTGGGCTCCAACTGTCCACCTCGCCCTAAGGCCCATCAAATCCCCAGCAGGCCCAGTGTGCAAGAGCAGGACAGGCTGAAGATGAAGTCACCGCTGGAAGGGGCCGGGCTGGGGCTGCCACTCCAGGGTGGGGCCTGGGGCCACGACCCTGGGAGCAGGCAGCCAAGAAGGGAGGCTGCCTTCCGTGAGGAAGCCCGGAAAACACACACAGAGCAGCGTAGAGGGAGGGAAGAAAACAAACTCCAGGAGACCAAAGCCTGCCTGGAGTTTGGCCTGGGCGGGCGGATTCCCCGGGGCCTGAGGCCACGTTGCAGGCGGCTTACACCAGCATCGGCGAGACCCTGTCCAGCCTTTCCCCCAAAGGCCCAGCGCAGGTGGTGCTGGACATGGACAGGAGAGGGAGGCTGGGCCCAGGGTGCCAAGGGGCCCAGAGCAGTTGGGGAGCACGGACCAAGTCAGGTACCATGAGCGGGGAGACCATCAGGTCGGGAGGGTTAAGTGTCTTCTAGACACAGCACCCACTTCTTCCTGTTTCCTGTGGGGTGGGGCTGAGATTACATGGTGATTGGGGTGGGTGATAGGGCCAGTGTGGGGTCTGGGGAGCCAGAGCGTGGGGTGAGGCCCTGCGGATCCACTCGGAAGGGAGAATGCGGTGGAACAGGGCCAGGGCGGCCTCCTCCAGGAGAATCAGGGCAGCTGGTGAGAGACTGGCGTGGGGAACCAGGGCGGGATAGGGGTCACAGTGGAGTCCTGGCCAAATGGGTTAGGGGCCCCTGTGAGGAGCATTAGGCTGTGTCAGGACAGGGGGCCTGAGGTATGGGGGTGAAACTGGCCCCGAGTTCACCTGCTCTGGGGGTCAGATGTGTTGGATGGAGCGTGAAGCAGGGGTGGAGTTGCTGTGAGGAGACCTGGGGTGTCCTGGGGCCTGGGCTTGCTTAGCCATGCTGGGGTGAGTGGGCCTCTTGAGGGTGTATACCAGGTGCAGAGGAGGGACAAGTGCCAAGGGGGCCTTCCTTGGCGACAGGTAGAGGGGGCAGGGAAGAGGAAGGAGAGCCAGTCTGGACTCTACCAGCCTCCTCCCTGCTGGGAAATGCCAGGAGGGATGGGCAGTTTTATCACCTCACTTTGTGTGGTGGAAGAGGCCCTGCTAGGAGAGCCTGAAGAGAGTGGGGTGGGGGCAGCTGCACTCCAGGCTGGTGTTGGCACAGTGAGGGAGGCACGCATGAAGCTGGGCAGGCCCCCATGTGGCAAGATGGGGAGCGGGGACAGATGGGACAGCGGGGTGCTCCGGCAGGGGCAGGATTTGTGGGTTCCCTAGCCTTGGAAAATGAACTCTCCTGCCTTGTTTCTGATGGGGTCAGGGAGAAGGGCTGCAGTGGGTCCCCAGGGGAACAGACATCCCCTGGGGCAGAAGCACCCCTGTGGCCACCAGCCAGCCCCCCCTATCTCTTTGAAAAAGAAAACACTTCTGTGCCTGTTGCTGGCCCCACGTTTCTTCCTGCCTCTCCCCATTCATTACTAATCTGCCCAGCCACAGCAGGCAGTGGAATCTGAGACCCACTGGAAGAGATTCTGGAAGTACCTTTTTGGGAACACCATCCTTCTCAGAGGTGAACCCCAAGGGGCTTCCAAGCAGGACGGGGAAGCCTCGCCAGCTGTCCCTCCATGTCCCGAACAGCTGGGTCTGGCCTCCAGGCTCCCTGGCCTCTGCTTGGGAATGGAAATGCTGGACCACCCTCCTGCAAGGGGAGGGGAGGGGTAAGGTGAACCCCAAAACACACTTTTTAGAAGCTCCTCTGCTGGTTGTCTCCAAAGAATCAAGGTGCCATAAGCCCTCCCTCCCCCCAGCCTCCCCGCCAGTTCCACAGGTACCCCTAGGCAGCGGGCCTGCTGAAGGCCTGACCCCGAGGGGCCCTGGGCAGTCCCTTTGCAATGGGCAGGCTGGAGGAGGCTACCTCTGAGGTGGCTTCCAGAATCCACATTCAGTTCTGCTTTATTACTGTCTAAAGTCCAAGTTAGGTTCCAGCCCCTCTTCCGGAGCCTCCTTCTCAGCCAAGCCCCAGCCCGCCTCCTCCCCACTGCCCCCCACGCCTGCCCCCCACTAGGGGACCAGAGGTGCCAGCCTCATCTGCTTGCCTAGTCTCGACCCACCTCCCCCGACCCAGGTGAGTCAGGGCTGTCTGGGGCGCCCACTCTCGGGGACCCTGATCGTGATGACTCGCCCGGGGAACTCTCCTAGCCTTTCCCCATCAAACAACCCTCAGGGCAAGCCACAGGGTGTTTTGTCTACGAGTTCATTATAATTTTATCAATCAAATTCTTAGAAAAGCCTCCTTTCCTTGCGCCCCACCCCCGCGATCCCTGTGCCCCCCCCACTCTCACTTTTTCTCCCATTCATAATTTCCAGTGATGCTCCTCCAGCACTTCCTGGATGGGGATTCCGTCTAAATATAGCGTTGTCTTTCCCTAGGCTCCAGTATATAAGGCAAATTCTCCATTTGAGCATGAGCCTCTGAAAACTGCCGGCATCTAAGGAATCCTCCCAGGCGGTGGAGTCCAGCCCATAATGAAGGTCTTGGTGGCAGGTAAATCCACCGGCCCCGAGCCCGGCTTCCACGCCTCCCTGTGGGCGCAGCGGCAACTTGGGGCACTCGGTGACCGCGAGCAGGACACCCACCCGCCGCAGACACGCAGACACGGGGGGCGCCCGCGCAGCCGGCCGCTGCCGAAGCGCTGCGTGGCGGCGGGGAGCCAGCGCCGGCGCGTGGTCCTGGCACCGCGCACCCAGCCCGCCCGGGCCAGCAGGTTGGCGAGTGAGGGTCGGCTGCCGCCTTCCCCCTGCTGCTCCTCCTCCGCGCTCTGGCCACTTTCTCCTGCGGCGCCTCCGCGCACTTTCTCCCGGAGTCACCCTCCCTCCCTCTCTTTCTGCCTTTCCTCTTTCTCTTCTCCGACCGCGTCCCGGGCTGCTCCCGGGGAGGGGCGCCGCGGCCGAGCAGCTCGCAAACTCCGGCCCGGGACGGGAGCAGGTGCCGCCTCCATCTGCAGGCGCCTGGGAAACCGTGGTCTGTGCTAGGTAAGAGGAGGAAGTGGGGACCCGCCAGCCACCTCGGGCCTCAGCTCTGTGCGGGTGTGCTGGGAGAGAGTGGGGACCGGGGAGAAGTGGACTGGAGGCCGCCGCTCTTCCAGCAGGGAGCTCCTGGCGGGAGGCTTCCGCACCCCGGCCCCCAGCCCCCGGTGCCCCAGGCGGGGTCTGCGAGCCGCTGGGCCGCCCGAAGGGCCCTCTGAGGGGACCTGAGCGTGAAGGGGCAGGGGAGGGGGGCAGGGGAGAAGCCCTGGGGGAGGGGTGGCCCAGGACCGGCCTGCGGCTCCCAGCTCTCCGGTCACCTTTCACTTTCCTTCCTCCCCCGCCCACCGGGCAGCCTGCGACCTTTTCCCTCTTCTCTTTCCCAGTCGCTCCATTTGCTCTCCCTCCCGCAGGCTCCGGGGCCGTGGGACTCGGGAATTTTCCTGTGCCTCCCTCCGCCTGAGCCAGTGGTGGGGGCCGGGAGGGAGGGGTGAACGCTGGGATGGCACAGAGCTGGGGGTGGCGGGTTAGTTTTGAATGGTTTTGGGATGGACTGCAGAATGGGGTGGAGTTGAGGGTCCTAGAGAGAGGAGTGGTCCGTGTGGAACACTGGGATAGAAGAGATGGGGAAGGGGCAGAAAGAAGTGACAGGGTAGGGAGGGTTGGGAGGAGGGAGAGGGCCAATGATGACCTCCGCCCCTTTGGTCCTCACTGGGGCCCCCCTGGGCGATTTGGCTGCAATGGGCCACCTAGCCAGGGGCTCTGCTTCTGGGGTCCCGACCTGGGATGGAGAGGCCGGGGCCTCTCTTCCTTGACAACCCTGGGCTGACACTGGGTGTCTTCTGTCTAGTCAGAGGGCCCTTAGGCTTCCAGGCTTGGGAGCTTTTGCTTCCTCAAGGGAAAGGGCTGGGAGGTTGGTGGCATCTTGGATCCAGCTTCTGGCTGGTGGGAACAGCTCATGTCTGACTGACTCCCTCTCTCTGGAGGAAGCGGGAAGCCTTAAGACACAGAGCGAAGCAGACACAGGTGCAGGGGCCAGGCAGTGACTGCTTGCAGACTGGAGCTGGCAGGGGGAGGGTACCCTCGGGCCCACCTCCTGCTCATGGGTCTGCCGGCTTGTCCCCAGGAGTTGTGCCTTTGCTGCTGGTTCTGCACTGGAAACACGGGGCTGGGAGCCCCCTCCCCATCACCCCCATTAACGCCACCTGTGCCACACGCCACCCATGTCACAACAACCTCATGAGCCAGATCAGGAACCAACTGGCACAGCTCAATGGCAGTGCCAACGCCCTCTACATTCTCTATGTAAGTCATCCCGGCCCCTGTGTGTGTGTGTGTGTGTGTGTGTGTGTGTGTGTTGGGGGGTCGCTGGGAGAGGGGGTTGGTTGGGGAAGAGACCCTTGGGGAGCGGGAAGGAAAATATGGACAGGGGCCTTGTTTCACCACATCCAGGCACCCACACCTTCCTCCCCTCCCCCCAAATGGGCTGGGAGACTGGAAGCCGCTTTCCTGGGGTGTCCAGTTAGGTAGGGTCAAGCTGGGAGAAAAAGGGGGAGGCCTTGCACTTCTAGGGGTTCCCCCACCAGGCACAGCAAGAGGCATGAGAGATGAAATCAGCAGGAGGTGGACAGGAGGCGCCTTTGGGGTGCAGGCTGTGGGTGTCTGGGGGTGCAGAGTCACCCAGGCAGAGGGGGCTACACTGAGCCCCCCTTTCTGGCCCTGTGGTGCTGGTGTTGGTGCCGCTGGCCTCTTGCGCAGGCCAGGCTTTGGCCTGGCTTCACCAAGCATGTCCATGGCTGCAGTTTCCTGGGCTCTCGGGACAGCCCTGGGGCGCCCAAAGGCGGGCCCTCAAGGGCAGGTGCCAGAGGTGGGAAACGGCCTCAGAGCTTGCCCAGAGGCAGGTGGTGGGGCAGAACCCCTCCGGCGGGCCCCCATCTCACCTCCCTCTTCCCTCTGCTCCTCAGTACACGGCCCAGGGGGAGCCATTCCCCAACAACCTGGACAAGCTGTGTGGCCCCAACGTGACGGACTTCCCGCCCTTCCACGCCAACGGCACAGAGAAGGACCGGCTGGTGGAACTGTACCGCATCATCGCGTACCTTGGCGCCTCCCTGGGCAACATCACGCGGGACCAGAAGGTCCTCAACCCCAGTGCCCTGGGCCTCCACAGCAAACTCAACGCCACGGCAGACATCATGCGGGGCCTGCTCAGCAACGTGCTCTGCCGCCTGTGCAGCAAGTACCACGTGGCCCACGTGGACGTGGCCTATGGCCCGGACACAGCAGGCAAGGACGTCTTTCAGAAGAAGAAGCTCGGCTGTCAGCTCCTGGGGAAGTACAAACAGGTCATCGCCGTGGTGGCCCAGGCCTTCTAGACAGGAGGTCTCGCAGCGTGCAGTGACCCAAGAGATCACACGGGAGCTTCTGGAATCCCAAGTGGGGGCTGCTGAGGTCTCCCCAGCCTGCCCACCCCTCCGGGGTGGGTGTGATGACGTTGAACACAGTTGGTACTTCCATAGGCAGGGCCTATACGATGCCAACTAGAAGGAGGCACCCCTTCTTCTGATGACTGAAGGCTCCCAGGCACTGGGGTGCCAGGTTGAACTTTGGCCCCCCATCCCCTCCTTCAGTCACTCTGACCGCAGGGCTTAGAAGAATGGGCAGGCCCCACAGAATGACCGTCACCAGTGCCTTCGATGTCCACTAGGTGGACTTTGGAAGTTTTGGTTGGGACTCGGGCAGGTCAGAGGGACTGGGATCCTGAAGGACTCATGGTCCCCAACAAGTTTGGTGAATGGAAGTGAGAGAAGGGAGCTCCAGGCTGAGGTGACTTTGGGCACTGTTGGAGAGTTCAGGCCTAGAACCCATCCTGTGGAGGGTTCTGGAGGGAGGTCACTTTCAGCAGAACTTGGAGGAGGCTGAGAGGCCACCTCAGGCCTGGGAAGAAAAGTTCTGGAAGGAAGAGAGGCGCCTCAATCCCAGGCACTCTCTCCGTCCTCTCTTGTGCTGTCTCTTCAGCAGCACAGGAGGCTGGGGGTGCCGTGGCTGGACCTGGGGATGAGGTTTGTGGAGACAGGTAGGTGGCAAAGTCAGGTGAGGAGATTCTGAGGGAGCCCAGAATCTTTTTTCTAGCTCAGAGTGTATAAAGGAGAGGGTAGGATCACGCTGGGACTTCAGGGGCACAGGTGGCCATCTCTGGTCCCGAGAACAAGGAGGCAGCAGAACTCGAGGTCCAGGGTTGGAGGCAGTCCTGAGCCCTAAGTGCTGTATGCCCGACCCACCATGATTGTCTTATTTATTATGATGCCCTATTTATATTAACTTATTGGTGCTTTAAATGGCAAAGTTATTCCCCTGCCCTGCTTCCCTCCTAGCAGAGATAATATGACAGTCTCTGTTTAAGAAACCAGGACCAGGCCTTCCCTGGTCTGGAAGCTGAAGATGTTACAAGTGGAATCAGCCTACCGGTGTAGCTCACAGAAGGGTCTCAGAGAACTGGTCGGCCTGGCTCGGGGCCTGGAGACCCAGCTCCACCCCCCCACCTCAACGTGACTCCCTTTAGGTGTTCAGATCCTGGCTGCTGGGCAGACGGGGGCCACTCTGTGGACTAGCCTGGTGCCTTTTGTCAGGCGCCATATTGCTGGAGTCCAAGGGCCTGTTTTGGCACTATTCTGGTGACTCCTGGAATTGAGCTGGGAGGGGTCCCCTTCAGAGTTGAAAGGCCACCTGGAGCTTTGGGCAATGGCAGCCCTCCTGGCGGTCATCTAGGGGCCCCGAAACAGGCCTGACCTGCATGCTTGCACACAGTGGCGAAGCTTCTCTCGTGTCCCCAACAGCCCTGGAGGGTGGGAGTACCTGGCCGGATCTCAGAAAGCTGGAGCAGTACAGGGAGGAGCCCCCTGCTCGGGAGAGGACAGGGAGGCCTGGGACGTGGACCAGGAAGCTGTGGTCCAGTCCTGCCGCCCTCCCCCTAATCCCCACCCATGTCTGGGTTCCCAGGCAGGGAACCCGATCCTTTCCTTTGTGCTGAGGCCAGGCAAGTGGAGAAACGCCCTCCAGTCTGGGAGCAGGGGAGGAGGAAATGGAGCCGGTGCAGCTGCGGAGAACAGTGTTCTGGCTTGTTCTCAAACCTTTACTGGGCAGCCGTCCTGAAGTTGAGCTGACGTGATTATGGTACTTTGCACTCACTTTGCACCTTTCCCGTTTTCTATGCACTTTACCCAGGCCCACTGGACAGCAGGTGGGCGGGCACCAGGCCGGAGACCTGGGCCGGAGGGGCTGGGGCCCCGCCCATTGGCAGTGGGGTCTCAGCCTGCTGCCCGCTCCCCCATCGCCCTGTTTCTTTGGGAAACTCGGCTCAGAAGGCTGGGGCCAGCTGGGGGTCCCATCATCTCATCATCCCATGGACACCCGTTCCCTGTGCTGGGTCCACCTGGGCACCCCGGCTCTGCTCCCTCCTCCCCAGCCTGTGCTCCCTCTAGGAGCAGTCTAGGGACTATTGTGATGCCTTTGTATGGAGAAACTCGGCAGGCTGGGAGCTGTCCACTGTGCATCTGCAGACAACACTCCGTCTGGGTCCTGGGCCCAGGAGGGAGAGGCTCGCAGAGGAGGGGTCAGGGCTGTCATTTTGCAGTTAATCAGGAGAGGAATGTGGGGGACCTTATTTATTTAAAACAATTTTAAACAAAACACTCCAATTTTAAGCAAAACACTCCGGTTTGTCCTTTCTCCTTTCACCTTCTTGTCCGCCCCGGGCCCGATCCTGGCAGAACAGCGCAGCTCTGCCTCAGTGGCCCCCAGAACAGGCTTCAGGGCACCCTTGTCCCTGGAGCAAGGGCGAGACCTGGGTCTCGACACCCACACCAGTCGCTCCGTGCCTTTTCTGAGTTGTCCCCTCTTCTGCATATGAGAAGGACTTGGGGCAATGAAATCTTTGATGAATGTACCCTGTGGGAATGTTTCGTACAGACAGATTATTTATTCAATGTCATATTTAAAATATTTATTTTTTATACAGAAGATACATTTTTTAAGAAAAAAATTAATAAAGAATCTGCTCTTGGAAAGTTCTCCAGTGTTTTCATATGGGGAGAAGGGGGCGGGGTGGCCTGGATGGCTCTGTCCTGGACACCCCGCTCAGTGGGACCCTGCCTGGCACCGGGCGGGGGGCTGCCAGAGGGGTGGGCTGGGGGCTGCCAGGGGGGGACCTCCACCAGTGAGGGTGCTGACACCGCTGAGGTCCGCAGGTGGGCCTTAGCACTGGCTGAGGTCCGCAGGTGGGCCTAGTGCCGTCAGAATGAAGTGGTAGGGCTCTAGATCACGGGTATTGGCAGAAAAGGGGAGGCTACCCCAAAGTGGGGAGGGCTGTCAGTCTCTCAGCTCCTTCACTCCCAGTTCCTCAACTGTCACTGAAATCCCAAGAGTCGCTGAGAGGCTTCTTCCCATTTAACAGAAGGGAAACTGAGGCTCAGAGATGCGGCCACTTGTCCTGCTGGCAGATGTTTGGGGCCGGACTTCCAGCTCCAAATCTCACCTGCTTTCTTGACGTGGACCGCTGGGACACAGAGGACACCAGCTGTCGAGGCCTTTGTCCCCCAGGAAGGGTCCACTGACTCTGGGAACCACAGCTGTGGATGACTCAGGACAGAGATCTTGGGGTCCCATCCAGAACTGAGCAGAGTGCTGGGCCAGGATGACCGCACGGCTCCTGGGCCTGAGCGGCTCTCCCGAAGTGGACACTGCTGCTGTCCCCTCGCTTCTCACTAAGCAGCTCTTTCCACTGCAACTTTCTCGCCTGTCTCCTAAGACTCTTTCCTTGAGGAAACCAGAGGGGTCAGGCCCTAGACAAAGCCTGTCTCCCCTGTGCTCTGCTCTGTGATTTGGGTCTGGGGGTCCCAGACTCATGTTTGGGATGTGGGCAGTTTTGCTGGGATTCACCCACTGGCTAGTTCATGAAAGTGTCAGGTGCTGGGTTGGTTTCCAAAGATGCACAGGACTCAGTCTGTGCTTTCCAGAAGCTCACAGATCAGTGGGGACATGAATGAGCACTTTTGGAAGGATGAAGAGAAAGAGCAAGCACAAGTCTGGGAGGAGAGCACCTCACTAACCTGGTTCTCTCTGCACCAGCTCTGTGGAGGGACTGGACCCAAAGTCTGTGGTTGGCAATGCAGAACCCCTCCCCCACCTCCATTCCCGCCCCACCCTAGACCTGTGGAGTCAGAAACTGCCCTTCAACAAGTTCCCAGGCAAGGCAAGCCCATTAAGGCTGAGAAGGTCCCCTCTCCTCCTCCGACTCTCCCTCCCAAAGGCTGGCAGGGAGGGAGGGAGGGAGGGAGCTACTTTGGAAGGAGTGAGGAAGCACAGGGTTGGCCTGCCACAGCTGCTGTGGCTCTTCCTGCATGGCACCACTGCAGCTCGGCAGGGCAGACCGCAGGCTGGCTGCTGCTTCCAAGTCCAGGCCACACCCTGAGGCGTCCTCCCCTTCCCCTTTGCTTCAAGGGAGGTGAGCCTGAGGCTTTTCGAAAGAAACCTTTACTAAGAAACTAGGAAAGCAAAACTAACATCGAGGAATGGAGATGAGGGAAACGCTGGGTGGGGGCCCTGTGTGGGGCTGGCAGGCCTGCCCTCTGGGTCTGCCCTCCTGGCCAGGACCTCGCTGAGGCCAGGGCAGGTGTTCTGCTCTCTGCCCAGTCCTGGCTGGAGAGACAAAAAGGCCTTTCGTTGGTTATTGGGTCATCGGAGCTGTGGGAGGTGGCCCTGGTGTGAAGAATCACCCCCAGCCTGGGGCCTGTCAACTCTGTGGGTGCGGGAGGTCTTGTGACGCTCTTGAGCTCATCTCTTTTATCTGTGAAATTGCAAGAGGCATCAAGTTGAGTTGAAAGCGGTTCTATCTACTTCAGGAGGCGACTGGAGGAGGCGCTTGGACAGGGAGAGGGAAGGGACCGCCTGCCCACTGTGTGGGGGAGAGAGCAGAATCTCAGCTTGGAGCTTCTCTGTGGGGGCGGGGGGGGGAGGGGTCATTTCACCCAGACCCAGTGAGTTGTGAAGGAGGCCCACGGCTCTGAGTCCGAGGCAGGGCAGGCGGATGGGGACAAGGGCCAGCAGGGTGGACACACATCACAGCATCTGGAGCCCCACACCTGAGCGAAGCAGCACAGAGAGGCCTCTTGACCTCAGGGATGTGGTGATGTTGCAGGGCACCCCACTGTGACCGGGGCGCCTGTCTATGGGTCCTCACCTGTGCGCTTAAAATTCAGTTGTACTGCAGGCACACACAAAAAGGGTCAAAAAAATGCATTTATTTACAAAAGGGAAAGGAAAAGGAACAACCCAGGGAAAGAGAGAGAGAGATACAAGTTAACTAGAGCATCCTACCAGCTCTGCTGACTTGGAACTTAAATTACACACTGATAGCTCAGTAAGAGCCAAGCGACCAGCCACTAGCCATTCAGTTCAGAGAGAGCCCTGCGGTCCAGAGAGCCACGCGGTCCAGAGAGCCACACCATCCAGAGAGCCACGCCATCCAGAGAGCCACACGGTCCAGAGAGCCACGCGGTCCAGA